TGGCCTGGGCCTCCTTTTTGGCTGAACCCGAGCACTGAAAGTTGTGGCAGCATGCAAGCCACAACTTTGAAAACATAGCTGGGAACGTACTGGTGGTTTCAAGAGTCTGATGTATTGCATTATCACATAGTCTCCCGCTTGGCCAAGGCTGCCGCAGAATCCTTCTAAAATAACCGTGGGTCGAAGGCGCTAGCTCACAACCAATTTCGATGGGTTGCTTTGACAATTTTGGGAGGTAAGATAATCTAACAATCTCTTATGGGTTCCATTGTACAGCAACTAATAAATGCCTCAGGTCAGTTGACGTTGAGGTTGGGGAAACTATATTAAGATTCCAAAATGGTGAGCTTTGCTGTCCTTATTACTCTGCAGTGTCTGAAGCAACATTGGTACGGTATCCAGTGTTGAGTGTGGGTGCAGTACGGTTGGTGGAGGGAAGTGATGGCAATGATGATTGGGACTCTGCTTCGACTTTGGGATGGCCCATTAGGCATCAGATCAGATTATTTTTGAAAAGGCTAAGGTTAAACCCTAAGGTTAAACCACCACTACCTTTCCCATATACCGGCCCAATTCGATTTTACCTGTCGAATCTGGGCCAGGATGCAGTTTCATTACGGTATTACAGGGAACCCTGTAGCAGCTACACATGCATGTTCATGGCTCCATCGAAAACATGCTGGGGCTGCACTACAGGAGGTGGGTGATACCGGCCATCCTGGGGCTGCACTACAGCAGGTGGGCAATACCAGCCACGGGTCAGCGAAAAGCATCACACACCATGCCATCTGGAGCAACCTCTGCACCTCCCCTCCGTTCCCCGCTCCCTACGAACGGGTCAGCCAGAGCGTCAGACATCATGCCATCTAGACCAATCTTTGCACCTCCCCTCCATTCCCCTCCCCCTACAAATATCAGCAGTCTCTGCTGACCATCCCATCTGGAGCAACCTCTGCACCTCCCCTCCGCTCCCCTCCCCCTATGGACGGGTCAGCCAGTAGCGTCAGACACCATGCCATCTAGACCAATCTTTGCACCTCGCCTCCGCTCCCCTCCCCCTACAAATGTCAGCAGTCTCTCAACGGTTCTTCCCGATGGCCTACATCAAGTCTGCCGAGAACAGTACATGCAGCCGATGGGGGTTGAGCCCATGACCTCCTGAATGTCACTTGTGCGCCTTACCAACTCAGGGTGCTAACTAGATTATCAGTCGAGTGTGCAGCCATTCTGGTGGGAGATTTTGAGGCAGCTGAAGGAGACTGCAATTCAGGGGGCGCAGTCTTTTTTCGAGATCAGCCATTCCAGCGGGAGATTTTGAGGCAGCTAAAGGTGGCTGGAATTCAGGGGACTTGTAACAGGCCGTGTCTAACGAGAGAGCGGCCCGTCAATATGCTTCCGGGCATACTCACTTCGTAGGTCCTTTCTGAGAGAATCTGGCCGTAGCTCTGGCCAGATGCATCCTCCAACATCTTAGTATCTGGCGTGATTAAGCCCTCTTTCTCAAATCTCATGCTTTGATTTGGCGACCACACGCTCTCCTTCAAAGGGAGGGTTTGATTCTTCCTTGCAATTTGCTGATGAAAGAATGCTCTATAAACATCAAAAGTCAAATGAGTCGTCTGCCGGGAACTGGAGCCAGGCTCCATGCATTCGTGTTTTCCGCTCCCAGCCTGACTTTGATGGCTTTGATGGGCTTTCAAGGCATCGATGATTCCCTCTACTATCGAGGAAATTGCTTTGGGAAAAAAAAAGACACCATGCATCCCCATAGCGGAGGAAAAGAGAGTACATTCTACCTGCCTACCGGTAGTGGCTGAATGATGCACATGTTACTGTTGGCAAAGACATCACCAGTTCCAAGTTCTGGAAGATGCAATACGGTTGGAATAATTTTATTATTTCATCCAAACGACGATGACGATGACGATAACGATAACGATAACGATAACGATAACCCATACAACAGGAGGTTGTGAAACCTTACAACGCACATTTCCCAGACGTTTGCCAAAGGTCACACAGAGAAAGAGAGAGAGAGAGAGAGAGAGAGAGAGAGAGAGAGAGAGAGAGAGAGAGAGAGAGAGAGAGAGAGAGAGAGAGAGAGAGAGGAGTGGCGGTTGCACGAGCAGGAGATGCCAGCAAAAGATGTGGAGACGTAGCGACAGCAGAAGCGAGAGAAGCAGATATAGCAGAAGATAGAGGAGGGAGGGGGGCAGAAAGGGGAGAACGGGGAAGGGAAGTTGGGAGAGAAGGGGGAGAACGTGGAAGGTAAGGTGGGAAGAGAGTGGGAGAGGGAGAAGGAGGTGGTAGAAGTCGAAGAGAGGGGAAAGCAAGGGTGAGGAAGTACGACGAGGAGAGGAAGAGGAATGAAGGGACAGCGAAGATGAAGAGAGGGGGGAGAAGGGAGAAGCGGAGGAGGCTGTGTTGGGGGGATGAGAGGAAGGTAGACAAGGATACGAACCAAAGGAAGAAGCTAAAGTGAGACGCAGCAGGGTGGAAAAGAGGACACAGGGAGAAGAGGGGGGAGGACGAGGGAAAGAGGAAAAGGAAGAAGAAGCTGGGAAATGTGAGAGAAGGGGGAAGAAAGATAAGTGATACAGACACGAGAGAGAGAGAGAGAGAGAGAGAGAGAGAGAGAGAGAGAGAGAGAGAGAGACCACGGAGGAGAGGGGATCAAGGAATAGTCTGCAAGGGCTCGCGTGGAGAAAGCGAAAGGGAAAGGAGGAAAAAGGCAGAGGAGACGACGGGAGGAGAAAAGGAGGATGAGGAGGTGGTGGTAAGGTGAGGAAGAAAAGAAAGGGGAAAGACAATTCTTCGAGGAGGAGGAAGGAAAGGGGGAGGAGCAGGCGGTAGATATGAGTTTTCAATAGCAGGAAAACGTGATGGTGAGAATTAACAAAAAAAAAAAAAGAAAGGACGAAGGGGATTGAAGAGAGAATCAAGACTACGATACTGATGACACCACGGTGATTTCCTGTGGGTGGAGAAGGGTGCGACGGGCATTGCTTATTTCTTTTTCCCTTTTTGGCACTGCTTTCAAGCTGTGAGAGTTCCAAATTTACGCATATAACTCTTAGCGGAGGAAGTGAAACCAACGAGAATTTCCGCGACAACAACAACAATTCCCTCGGTAGCGGTGAGCGAACCGGGAAGTTAAGTAACTGTTGAGAAAAAGGTCATCAAATCGAATCCAGAGGGGGAATCAGATGGATAAAATAAGCGCAGGGGCTACCCACTTCTTTAGGAAGGAAGGGCACCAAAATAAAAAATAAAAAAAAATCAATACCTCAACCAACCCACCAAGCAGCCAATCAGTCACTACGTATAGCTTTATCATATTCTTGCTGAGTAATTGACTATTTGATCGACGACTTGCGGACCATCTGAAGATTATAGGTTGCCCTTTCATGCTTGCAGGGGTCCCCTGTGTAGCCTTAGGAGAAATGGTAGGTAGGTAGGTAGGTAGTGAAAGGTGATATGGCGAGAAGAATATAGCTCAGTGAAAAGAAGAGAGAAAGATTGCCCATTTACCCCTTCATTATCGTCTTTCTCAACACTCCTCACACCTAATCAATCGGGAAACCAAACACATCAGAGTAAGAAAAGACAAACATAAAACTGATCCTGGATTTCACGATATCAATCGCATTACCAGGTGATAGACCGACTGACATAAAGGTCGATAGAGTGGTTTATGGATCTATAAGGCTAATCTATAAACCCATTAATTAACAGATTGATTGATGGATCTGTTGATGTCTTGAGTGAGGGCGTACTCATATCTGACCGCAATTACGGCCCTACCTCGATGTATCTCGCCGCAATTGCGTCCAGAAATAAGTAAGACAGTCCTAGTGTGAATGTGTCCTGAGTGAATACCCTGCGTTTTCTTCCCTTTCTTCAGATTTTCCCCGCCCTCTTCACCGACAAACGTCTCTCTCTCTCTCTCTCTCTCTCTCTCTCTCTCTCTCTCTCTCTCTCTCTCTCTCTCTCTGAGACACACACACACACATGTGCCTGCACGCTCCTTCTCCACCTCCTCTCTCTCTCACTCCGCGCGCGCGCACGCGCTCTGATCTTCCTTTCGCTTGCTCTCCGCCTCTCTAGCACGCACGGACTCGCAGCGCCACAACAACAGCAAATACTTCATATGTTTTCAGACGGCGGGAGCACGCGCTACAGAAACCTTGGGAGGCACGAGGGAGGCAGCCAGGTGCGCTCCCCTAATAGCCACATCCACATAACTTAGGGCGCGATCCTATGTTCTTCATTCGAGGACCAATTTTTGCGCTGTAGTCTTGCTGCACGTTGGATTTACTGCATCTGGGGTGCAGCTACACTTCAGCACGAAAAGTAATCGTTCCAAGTACGAATGTAGATCAGGCCGTGATAAGTAGGCACGTCCTTTCCTATACTCTTGTCATAAGATTTGCTTACGCGCTGCGTGTCCTGTTCCTTCTCTCCGCACAAGAAGAGGGAGGAAGAACAGGGAAGACGAAGAAATCAATCGGGTACATCATGCATCAACGGAGGCTCTCTCTCTCTCTCTCTCTCTCTCTCTCTCTCTCTCTCTCTCTCTCTCTCTCTCTCTCTCTCNCTCTCTCTCTCACACACACACACACACACACACACACACACACGCGCACACACACGCGCACACACACACACACACACGCGCGCGCGCGCGCGCGCGCGCACAGAGAGATACACACACGCACATAGAGAGGAAGAAGAAATCAGTCAGATGATTAACAGATCGACGGGAATAATTAGCTTTTCGTCCCCTACTTCCTCTCTCGCTCTCAACCTACCTACCAACCTATTCACAATCTGCTACCTATCTACCTCAGACACTAAACCAAAGGTACGAATGCGGCCCAGAGGCCAAGCCCATTGACAGAATCCTGCGACGGAGAGAGGGCCTTGGATGGAAGTAGTGGGTAGGACGAACCGATCAGGAACCCCAATTATGCCCCAGAGAGGGGAAATAATTATCAAACCTTCAGCTCAGGCTGAAAGGCGCAAACATGTCAATGCTTCTCCGTCCATGCCCGTTCGATAACAACTTGAAGGTGTCCAATGCCGTAAAGCTGGTGCTACGTGAGCTGTCCGCATTGCCTCATCCATTGCGCAAGGGGGTTGTTTTCCGTACGAGCCAGAAAGGGAATGTGGAAATGGGAGGAGGGATCGAGAGAAGTCGATCGACCGTTCCGTGAATTGATTGATTGGCGAAGTAACTGATGGAACACGACTGGACCCCTCTCCTCTCTCACACCCGCGCGCAAAAGAGCGATCCGAAGGACGGACAACACGCTACGCCAGACACGCTCTCACGCCCCTTCACGCGGAACCCCGTGGTGTCCAGTGTCCGCCAAGAGCTCACGCGCTTCCGGGCTGTCATCCGCTGCGCGCGAGATTTGGGAAACTCTGGGCCTTTTCTATAACCTTGGGTATTTGTGTTCCTTGAATATACTACGCGGCAGTGCTTTTTTTGTTCCTTTTTTGTTTTTGTTTTTGTTTTTTTTTTTCTCGATAATTGACTTACCGTGAGGGCATGGGTGCGCAGCCCGTAGTTCGTTTGTTTATGTGGTTCGGGAAGGGTAAGGTATTGATTATGCTGTATGTATGTTTTGTCATGTTCGCTATACACAACTCGAAGAGTTCGCAGCCCGTCAGGGATGCGCTTTCCCCCCCTGAGACATTCAACATTCAACGTCAATTTCAACGTCCGTGGTCGTCGGGACGGTGGGCATTTGAGGTTTTGGGGCCTTGCAAGGGCCAGGAACGCGTAGGACCGGTAGCTGCGAGTAGGAGGCCGAGGAGGCCGCAGTCCTTTTTCGAAATTGAAACGGTGCGGGTCGTCCTTTTTCGAAATTGAAACGGTGCAGGTCCTACACGTTGTATTCGAATACAATGTGTACCCTTTCTATTCGGATTTCGAAAAGAAAAACCTCTAGTATTCCGATAAAATTACTTCTTTTTGTTGGAGGTCAGTGTAGCGGTGTGGTGCTCCGCTAGTGACAGAGATGGAGATGGAGGAAGAAGGGGGAGCGAGATGGCACAACGCAGCTCCCCACGCAAGACTCCAACACGTACTCCAAAATGTGCAAGTGAAGAATGAGGATGAAACAGACAACTGTTGGGGTATACCCCAGCGGACTGACTTGACAGGACGGGACTGGCTGGTACCGACAGAGGTACCGCCCTGGACTGGACTGGACTGCCCCCGAATAGAACACAGGCCTGTGAGAACAGAACAAGGGGCTAGTCTCACAAGCCAACCAGAGGTCCGCTACACGATCCTCGGCCTGTGATGGATCGCCTAGATGCAAACACACTTCCGCGAAGAAGCGGAACTCTACCGAAGAAAAAGAAAACCTGAGTAGTCTAGGATGCGGAGCAAGCTCCATGCTGAGTCCATGCGATGCAACCTAGGATATAAAATGTCACAAAACAACAATGTCACAGCTAACAGCCTAAGTAAAAGCAAAAACAACTAACTAGAATACATGTCCTAGGAAAGCAAAAGCAACTAACTAGCATACATGTCCTAGGAAAGCAGAAAGTAGTGACAACTAGATCCTAGAATGTTGGAGGCAGTAGCCTCAGTCTGGGAACARMTRACTAGTGTATAAGTCCTAAGAACAGCAAAAGCAGAACAACTAAATCCTAAAAATGTCAGAGGCAGTAGCCTCAGTCTGAGAGCAACAAAGCAACAACAATTCAATCATATGTCACATGAGAAGTATGTCGCAAACCAAAGGGTGGGATGGTCTCTGAGGGTGGCGAATGCAGCCTAGGGGTCGAAAACTCCTAAAGGCATCCACACATAGATAATAGGGAGACACATGTCATCAGACTCAATGAGGGTAGGGAACTGAGAGCGAACAGAACCAATGACCCTAACAGATAGACCATCAGGGCGGGTAATGCTCGACTAAGGGGTGACCGCTATGCAGGGTCAACCATGGGAATAAGGGAGCCTGGTATACTGGGCGCACCTAGATGAAGCGTGCGGGGCTGCCTAACTAGGGCGCAAGGGTCGGCGAAGGGTAGAAAGATGATGGGTAAGGGAATCATGCAAATAACTCCTAAAGTGAGGGAAGTCGGAGCTAGATCCGTAAGATGGGAAGCCAGGGCAACGCTACGGTCCCGATGCCTATGCGTATACCAAGGGAGAGCCCRACTCAGAGGAACCCGGCTAAAGGGAGAVYATCATGCGACACAAGYAGGGTACTGTACAGGGTAGAGTGGTAAGAGAGTGACGACGTCTGAAGTAGGCAGAGCTGATCGTGATGAAGTCCATGAAGCTGCCGATGACGTCCACGATGAGAAGTCCGGAATGCCGTCGAGGAAGAGCCGCAGCGTCGACGAGCTAAAGTAGCAAAACTGATGTGGATGGAACTCTGAGAAGTTAAAGACGTGGCAAGGTAAGTCTGAGTCAATCGTCGTATCGAGCAGGACGACGACGAGTGCGCTGTGGACGCTCAGAAGCATCCGGCTGCTGCTGAAAGGCTGCCTCAGATGGAGCAGGCTCGACTTCAGCGGTCTCCTCAGCCGGAGGAAAAGGAGGAGGGTCAGTGGGCTGAGGAGGAGCAGTGAACCCAGCACGACGAGCACGGTCATAGACTTGCACCAACATGCGAGCGTGCTGCAAGTGCTCGAGGGGCTCCCAGGTAACCTCCTCATCAGGGTAACCCTTCCAACGTACGAGATACTCGACGTGGGGAGGGTTGTCGTCGGTGACTCGGCGACCAATGATGTTTGAAACGAGGAACTCCTCGTGACCGTCTACCATGATGGGTGGAGGACGCTCGTATGGTCGTCCAGCGAAACGCTCAGACGGTCTGCGGTAAGGACGCAGTAACGAGACGTGGTAGACATCGTGCACACGAGTCTGGCGTAGGTAGTCGGGCAGCTTCACACGAAAGCTGACCGGGCTAGATGCCGTATCAGAACCGACGACCTGGAGGATGCGGCATGGGGCAAAGAAGCGACGTCGAAACTTGCGAAGCATGTCCGCTTCGAGCTGTAAGTGGCGGGCGTCGATAAGCACACCATCGCCGACCTTGAATGGGTGATTCATCCTCGATCGGTTCGCACGTGCTGCCATGCGAGTCTGGGAAGTGGCTATGTGCTCATGTGCGGTCTTCATGATCAACATCATGTGTACAACCCAATCATCCAGCGCGGGATAACTCGTGTCGGGGTGCAGCTGGGACGGTCGAAGGACGTCCACGGAAACACGAGGGTGATAGCCGAGGTCGCAATAGTAAGGCGACATCCCCGTGGCTGGCGAGACGGCGTGGTTGTAGGCTATCTCCGCGTGGGCAA